GGTGAGGTCTTCTTTATTTGTCAACATATCTCTGAAGTTGCCAGGTTTGATTGCACGGAGTACCCCTCTTATGACCTCGCCCTCAGTATGTCTCTCTTTGAGTCCTTCGTCAATTTGTTTGCATATGCTGTTATATGTGATGTCAGAGGTAGTGTCACTTACTTGGCCTCCATTTATCCTGAACTCTTTTCGCTGGAGATAGGCAAGATCTTGTAGAGAGACCAATTTATCTAGCGTGTGGCGTGGCAGAAGGTTAACAGGACTCTGATGATGTGGCAGGCTACTGGGCTGGGTTGTGTTAGTCCCTGAAGGGTCTCCAACCTGCTGGCTATCTAGTAGGCCTGTTCCCACAGATGTGGCCATTAAGCTTGGTGCTGTGGCTGCCGTGACAGTACATTCTTGTATCTTCTTGCCCAGTTCTTCATACATCAGTTGTAGCTGTTCCATATTTGGCATGGTCATGTGAGTGTGTGAGCTGGGATTATGTGATTCTGTAGTGAAATGTGGTGATGTGTACTGTAGAGGTAGATGTTTGCAAATCCTTATCTGAAATGATAGGCATTTCAACTGAATCACAGTTTTCCATCACACTCAAAACAACATCATTCAATGACAACAAATGACCCAAGCCCTCATCCTCAGCCTTGGCCAATTGCTCAGATTGCATAAATGTAAGGATATAATCTATGCAGCTTTCTTCATCAGCTGAACTCAGCTTGTCTGCTCTAGGCCGCTTTGTTCCCAATGTCCTTGCAACCTTGTAGGCTTGAGAACCAGACAGCTGGAACAGATTATTTTTGATGCCCCAGATCAGTTCCTTGCGTGTTACTGTCATGGTGTGTGTTGACGTGCTGCCCCGGATGCCAGTTTGGTCCCCTCGAAGATCAAGACCCTCTTCCTCTGGTCTCCTTTCCTGGACACCAAATGGCCAGCTCCTTAGCTGCAGTCACGTCGCCTTGCTTCTGTGGTCACACACTGGATGGCACCTTCCTACAACAGCAAGTAGTTGTTCTGGTCCCGGTGTTCATGTATCACTGGATCAGCAGCCGGTACATCTAAAGCTGTGGCGCCGATCCCGGACGAGCCCCCATGAATCTGTTGCAGGTCCCGGATGGAGGGACAGGCAGACAGATACAAATAACCTGTTTTAACAGGAGAAATGAGTGAGCCACAGGAGACGGTGTTGTTGTGCTGGTAGCTCTCATCTGAATTTATTCCAGGTTATATCAATAAAGTCATTATACAACTTTGAAAAATTATGGTGATTATACATTCACACTTCTAATAGTACATCTATAGCACAACATCAGCTTTTTGCTATATCAGGAATTCTTACCTTATAAATTAATGCACATTCCAGACAGCTATCTAACACATATGCATTCTTTAAGAGCTATATGGGAAATCCTCTGAGCAGATAACCGAGAGCTTATAAACTAACTAAACTATGACAACACAAAATAACACAAACCTAATACACTGGGGACAAATGTCATGACACGCTTAGCAGACCAATATTTTTACACGGGAGTTCGTAAAACCAATTCAGAAAAACTATGAATCTATAAACGTCCAGCACCGTGTCGAACACGGGTTTGCTAAAGCTAACACGCACGTGCTTCATGCTGACATTCAGGTTCGACATTTTATCATATTTATCCCGGCATAAGATGTCCCAAACATATCTCAATAATGTTAACAATCATGTTCATTGCGTATCAGCTTACTGCTTATACCTGAACTAACCTGTTTTAACAGGAGAAATGAGTGAGCCACAGGAGATGGTGTTGTTGTGCTGGTAGCTCTCATCTGAATGGAGGGGAGCTTTTTCGACACAGAAATGTTGGACCGTCAGTCCCGTAATGTCCCACTTCTGCCATCTAGCGGCGCATTTGTGCTACTGCGTGATATTGCTCCAAAAATGTCAAAACAGGGTCAAATTCTAAACTAAAATCACAATTAAACCAAATAAATGTGACTACACTTTGTGGGGGTCACACACTCCCCAACAAAGAAAATGACTCCCGGCATTAAAGAAAGCGTCAAACTTTCACTCTTGAACTTAAACCATCACAAATATTATATCTTGAACTACAGTTTTACTTTTTTTTTTTTTTAAGTATTCATGGATGTATGGGTATATGTGTCGATATGTAAAGGAAGGGACAGTGAGTGCAATCATGACAGGATAAGGTAGTGATGTGTACGATGCGTGACAGGGTGTGTAATGTATCACTGGGACAGAGGATATACCCCATGGTGGAAATGCTGGTGTCCCACAAAGTCCAATAGTGTTCAATGACCCCTGAGGCTGGTAAGATGCCTGGCCAAAGGACTCATACGTCAATGTCTTTTGGGGTCTCCTCTCTCGTGCTGATCGCCTGGCTGATTGGGACTGGACTGAGGTCGGTCGCTCATCATTGGTGTCACATATGGCAGAGCCATCTTCCTCTCCAGTGTCCTCTTCATAGTCATCTTTTGCGATTTGTGCATAGTCATTGTCACCTGTCCATTCCAGCTCACTGGACTGATCTTCCTTCCTCATCACAGGCTCCTCTGCTGTGAGCATAGGCTGCAGTCTGGCTCCTCCTGTTGGTGTAGTTTCCTGAGTCGATTTGCCTGGGGATGGAGAAATCACTGCTTGTCCCTGGGGCACATAGGGAATCATGGTGCGAGATCTGTGTGATTCAGCTGGTCTGGACACTCTTAACCAGTATTGTGTTCTGGAAACACCATCATCAGAGTCAGACGAATCACTGTGTTGGCATGGTTCTCTCTGTCCATGCTTTTCTGCTTGACTCTTTCTCTTGTGCCTTTCTCTGGTTTATGTTTTGTTCTGTAGCTGTTCATGCATGCTCACAGGCAAATAATTTACAAGGTGGAGGAGGTTTCTGTGAAGGGTACGTATTTTACTGCAACCTGTTTCAGGACATACTTTGTAAATAGGGCTGTCATTCACTCGTTCTTTAACAACATGCACTGTTTGTTCCCAATAGGACCTCAGCTTTCCTGGCCCTCCTCTTTCACCCATGTTACGAACCAAGACCCTGTCACCGGGCTGCAGAACGACTCCCTTCACATGACGGTCATACTGCTTCTTGCCTCGTGTACTGGACTGCTGGCTGTTCTGAGCTGCTATTCTGTAGGCCTCTCTCATCCTCATAGCCCATTTGTTTGCGTATTCTCGGGATGTTTCTGGCTTCTTTTCTGTGGTCAAACCAAGAAGCAGATCTACTGGGATGCGAGGGTGGCGCCCAAACATGAGGTAATGGGGTGAGAAACCTGTAGCCTCGTGTCTAGTGCAGTTGTATGCATGCACAATCTGTGGTAAGTGTTCCTTCCAGTTACTCTTTTCTTCTTCTTGCAGTGTTCTCAACATCTAAAGCAGCGTCCTGTTGAATCTCTCAGCTGGGTTGCCCTGCTGATGGTACGGGGTCGTTCTGGAGTGGTTCACCCCTGCCAGCTTCTGCAGCGTGGTAAACAGGGCATTTTCAAATTCCCGTCCCTGGTCATGGTGCAGTCTGCCCGGGAACCCAAACCGCGGGATAAAGTCATTAAATATTTTTTCTGCAGCTGTTCGTCCTGATTTATTTCGTGTTGCATACACCTGAGCAAACCTACTGAAGTGGTCTACACATACAAGTATGTAGTCGTACCCCCCTCTGCTCTGCTCCAGGTGCTTGAAATCTATAGACACAAGTTCAAATGGTGCACTAGTCACAATGCTCCCCATTGGCGCTCTGTCATGAGTGACAGGTTTCTTCTGCTTTATACAAGGACACTGTCTGGTAACATGGGCCTCAATGTCCTTTTTCAAGTAGGGCCAATAGAAACGTTCTCTTGATAATCCAATGACTCTCTCTGCTCCTAAATGGCCCATGTCATTGTGCAGGTGTTTAAGCACAAGAGGTCAATACTCAGCAGGTAAGACCAGCTGTTTCCGCCCTCCAGCTCTCCTGTACAACAAATCAGACTCTATGTGCAACTTTCCCCATTCATGCATCAATCTTCTCACAGGGGCACTGACTTTCTTTCTGTATTCTCCTGTGAACACTGCTTTTGACTGTTTCAGCTTTATGATCTCTTTTATGGCCTCATCTCGCCTCTGGGCTCTTACCAGTTAATTTTGGCTAATGGTAGGTAGTGCTGTTTTACCCGTTGAGTCTGGATCCTGGGCCAGGTTGAGAGAAGCAACATAGGCAACATCATGCTTTTTGGCAGCCTCACTTCCTTCCCACATAGAATGGATGGCATCCCTGTTGAGTTCTTCAGTGCACTCCTCCATGTAGCTGTGGATGTCAAGTGGGAGACGGGAAAGGGTGTCATCATCTGCATTGACTTTTCCTGGTCTGTATTTTATACTGAACCTGAAGTCAGCAAGCTCCCCCACCCACCTGTGGCCAGCTGCATTCAGTTTTGCTCTGCCCATCACATAAGTAAGTGGATTATTGTCTGTGTACACAGTGAAGTGTGGTGCATAGAACAAATAATCCCTGAATTTTTCACACACCGCCCATTTTAATGCCAGGAACTCCAGCTTTCCAGAGTGGAGATTGTAGTTCTTTTCAGCGGGAGTCAATGTCCTTGAGTCATATGAAATTACTTTAAGCTTTCCACTCTCTCACTGGTATAAGACTGCACCAAGCCCCTGTTGGCTGGCATCTGTGTGAAGGACAAAGGGCAGCTCAAAATCTGGATAAGACAATACAGGTGGATGTGAAAGGATATCAATAAGCTGCTCGAGGGTGGTCTTGTGAGTATCGCTCCACTGAATGGGGGTTTTTGATGACAGCTGTACTCCTTTACCCCTTTTCTCTTTCCTCTGTGCAGTATCTGGGAACTCTTTAACTTGTAGCAGCTCATACAATGGCTTGGCAATCCTGGAGAAGTCTTGAATATATGTTCGATAATAACTCAAGAACCCCAATAACTGCCGTACCTCTCCCACTGTGGTAGTTTTTTTTCCTTGAGAGATACTACAGCCTGTATGTCTTGCGGGTCCACCCTCACACCCTCAGCTGAGACCAACCTCCCTAGGTATCTGACCTCTTTCTTGAACAGCTCGCATTTTGTAGGCCGCAGTTTAACCCCATGGTGTTGCAGAGCTCTCAGAACACGACGTACTGCATCAACATGCTCACTGAAAGATTTAGAATAACACAGAATGTCATCAAGATAAGGGATACAGCATTCATCACGCAGTGTGGTGAGCATCTCCTCCATGCTGCGCTGGAATGCAGCAGGGGCATTACAGAGGCCAAACGGTATCCGCACCCATTCATATAGGCCCCAAAGGGATATTAAAGCTGTCGTGGCGGGATCCTTCAGCCATGTAGCCTTGGTGGTATGTCTTTCCCTGGTCTAGAATGCTAAACCAACTCTGGTCTCCAAGAGTGTCCAAGAGGTCCTGGATGCGAGGCAGTGGGTGTCGATCAGGTACTGTTTTCTGGTTCAACAACCTGTAATCAATACACAGTCTGAGTGTTCCATCTCGTTTTCTGACACAGACTACTGGTGCTGAAAAGGGCGACCTTGACCTAACAATCCAGCCTTTGGCAAGAAGATCTTGGATGTACTGCTTAACTTCTTGGTAGAGCGATTTGGGGATAGAGGTATAGGACTTTTGGACAGAAACTTCATCTTTGAGATTGAGGACCATTTGGAGACTGGGTATGTCACCAATATCACTATCATTTTGAGCAAAAGCCCCTGATTCCTGAAACAGCATCTTTTTCGCCTCTTCTTTTTGCTTATCTGTTAGTTGACTGACATCCACTGGTGGGTGCCACAGTGGTGTGGAAGGTGGCGCCTGATTTTGGCTGTTTGCTAGCAAGGGACTAACAGTGTTTACATAGGGGAAATTCTCACCACTTTTAGGACAATCTGTCTCTATGACTTTAACAATGGGTTCAATGCTGCCTAAGACGGTTCGCCCTGGCAAAGTCACATCATGATTGGAGTGATTTGCGATAGGTACTTTGATGAAGGGTCTGTCTGTTTTGTGAATCACCACTAGTCCTGCCCCAATACTCAAGCTCCCTAACCTCACACTGTCAAGGGTGGGCTCAAAAAGCACAAATGGCTCTGAGGGGTTAATGTCTGCTGGAACTTGGCATGTAATATAAGCTACATGGCCTGCTGCAATGGTGACTTTCTTAAAGCCGATTTTCACTGTAGCATGTTCTTCGTTTGGAACCTTCTGAGTCTGAATGAAATTGACTATGGCCTCTACACCGCCATTATCAATCTCCATTGCACCGGCAAGGAGGGTAGACATAGTGGACATAAACTTTGGCTGACTCTCATTGTTTTTAATGAGCACCTGAATGACATTAAAGCCAATTATCGGCCTATCTAATACCAGGCGACTAATTAAAAACGGCACCTGAATGGATAAGTCTGGATCATTATTACCTTGCAGGTTCACCACCACTTTCATCCACCCATCATATGGAATGTCATCACCAGTGACTGCAGAAACATGGAGAGGGTCATCCAATATTTCGCTGAGTGGTTGAACATCTTCACCAGGTAAGTACTTTTCCTTCCAGGCACGTTCAAGTAGGCTCACATTAGCTCCTGTGTCCAGTAGGACGGTGGTAGCATAGCCAGCTATACTACACTTTAATAGAGATTTGTGGCCAATGAGTGGGGCTGTCAACTTGCATGGCTGTGCCACATTGTTGGTCTTATACGGCTTTCCTTGGATTTATCTTGTGTTGATGTTGTGTTTTGGTTGGGTTGGGACATTTGTCCAGAACCGGTCAGAGGTTGTCCCTCTGCCTTGACCGGGTCCCGTTTCCCGACTGCTTTGATCTCTTCAAACAACCAACAGCTCGATGGCCTTCCTCTCCACAAATGAAGCAGTGGCTGCAATCTGGATTAGCCAATGTGACACATTTGGGACAACCATATGGCTTTTGTGCTTTTCTCAATGGCCTGGGTTGGTCAGATTGACGGTGATGAGTGAGGGGAGCATGCTGTACCAGTCTTTGGGTCTGTGTCACTAACAGTTTCAAGGTTTCCATTGCCTGCGTCAGGGCTTCAACTTGTGTCCTCAGCCTCTGTATTGTATCGTCACTATTGCTCACAGTTGTGCTAACTTGGGCTTCAACTTATAATCTCTGGCTAGGATCAGCCTGAGCGCTGTAAGCTTGAGTTACTTTGCGTGTAGTGGTGCGGCCCAACCTGCGCTTTCTCTCACTTTCCTCGGTTGTAGTCTTGATTACTTGTCGCAGCAGAGCCTCATCAGATATGGTAGGTTGGGAAAGGAGTGGCTTGAGCTCCTGTCTAACATGCTCATATTTCTCCCCAATCCCCTGACATATTGTGTTTAAGAATATGCATTGTATTGTAGATGCATCGTATTTGACAGCAGAGGCTGTATGTTTAACAGTGAACATTATTCTTTGTTTGAGCTCAACCATTCTATATAAGAATTGCTGTGGTGTTTCATTTTCATGTTGTTTAGCACACAATAGGTCTTGAAAAATTTTTGTTCCGCTCTTTTCACCAAGATGGGACTGGAGGAAGCTTTTCAGCTCTGTGATGGTGAGGTCTTCTTTATTTGTCAACATATCTCTGAAGTTGCCAGGTTTGATTGCACGGAGTACCCCTCTTATGACCTCGCCCTCAGTATGTCTCTCTTTGAGTCCTTCGTCAATTTGTTTGCATATGCTGTTATATGTGATGTCAGAGGTAGTGTCACTTACTTGGCCTCCATTTATCCTGAACTCTTTTCGCTGGAGATAGGCAAGATCTTGTAGAGAGACCAATTTATCTAGCGTGTGGCGTGGCAGAAGGTTAACAGGACTCTGATGATGTGGCAGGCTACTGGGCTGGGTTGTGTTAGTCCCTGAAGGGTCTCCAACCTGCTGGCTATCTAGTAGGCCTGTTCCCACAGATGTGGCCATTAAGCTTGGTGCTGTGGCTGCCGTGACAGTACATTCTTGTATCTTCTTGCCCAGTTCTTCATACATCAGTTGTAGCTGTTCCATATTTGGCATGGTCATGTGAGTGTGTGAGCTGGGATTATGTGATTCTGTAGTGAAATGTGGTGATGTGTACTGTAGAGGTAGATGTTTGCAAATCCTTATCTGAAATGATAGGCATTTCAACTGAATCACAGTTTTCCATCACACTCAAAACAACATCATTCAATGACAACAAATGACCCAAGCCCTCATCCTCAGCCTTGGCCAATTGCTCAGATTGCATAAATGTAAGGATATAATCTATGCAGCTTTCTTCATCAGCTGAACTCAGCTTGTCTGCTCTAGGCCGCTTTGTTCCCAATGTCCTTGCAACCTTGTAGGCTTGAGAACCAGACAGCTGGAACAGATTATTTTTGATGCCCCAGATCAGTTCCTTGCGTGTTACTG